GTCAGCGGGCCGAGGAGGACGTAGTTGTCCCCGTATTCTTTGACGGTCACGGGCACTTTGGTGCGGAGAACGGAGTAGACGCCGCCGACCCTGTTGGCCACCTCCCACGCACACTCGAACAATTTTGGGTTGCGGACGTCGCGAGACATCGTTTCAAAGAAGGTAGCAGTGGGGAGAGGGAGAGTCCTTGACGACACGAATCCGTTCCGGCCAAAGAAGTAGGATCGATTGCGGGAGGCAAGGAGCGCAGATTCGGAGACAATCAGCAGCAGCCATCGATAGCAGTCCTGTTCTGTGCGCCAGGTGTTGCCTTAACGTGAGTGAGTGGCGCTTCGGAACGTGTCAGGAAGTTATTCAAAGTCAAGGGCAGCACGGCAATCGGCGCCAGCTCTGTGCCTTCCCGTGCTTCCTCGTTATCGGCTCGAGATCTATTGGAACACCCAATTAGCTCCCTCGGATCCCAAACATTACACACTCTCCAGCCACCACCCAGCTTCAAATTGGGAGGATCGCAGACCATGTCGGCATTATACCACACGACACACGCACTCCATCCACGCAGATGTCTGCTGCCTCGTATCCGTCACGTCGCGTTCTGTTCCACATACATGTGGAAACGTGGCACGTTCAATCACGGTCTGCCAGCAGTTACTATTCTTACTGGACAGCTACAAGCAGCTGTTACCCCACTTGGCAAAGCCTGGAGCCTGAAGCGCGTCATGTCCTCATGTTTTACGCGCGTGCGTTCGTGGCTGTGCCGGTCGCGCTTGTTGCGCGCTTGGCAACGGCAGTCGCGTCCCGGTCTCCACTTCGGTAAAGGGGGCACGGCACCGATTGGATTTTTGCACAAACACATGCCGCACACGCAAATTTCTTGCATAGAGATGAATGATTCGCCGTTGTCTTTTTCCTTCTCCTCCTCCTCCTATCCTCAGATCGCGCTCACCGCGTCCACCGATCCTTCATGCCGCCCTCCGCCTCACCACTATCGCCCCACTGGGTCCAACCCTCCCATCCGGAACTCATCGAACTCTGCCTCAACCGGGACCCACGCACCTTCGAATCCAGCGTCCGCAGCAAAATCACTCTACCCAGTGGCGCCGTCTTCGCCAAACTCACCTTCCCGCCGTGCACATTCGCGACCAAAAAGGCGTACTCGACGGTCCAAATCTCACGTACGACGCACATCGACCTCAACAGTGACTTGTACTATTTCAACCACTCGTGCAACCCGAGTCTCGAACTCGACGTTCATCCGGATCGGATGGAAGTCCGTGTCGCACGTACAAGGCCCGAAGGTCTGAAAGTCGGTGACGAGCTCTCGTTTTTCTATCCGAGCACCGAGTGGGAGATGGCACAACCCTTCGAGTGCAAGTGTAATGAGAAAACCTGTCGTGGACGGATAGCTGGGGCGAAGGATATGGGATACGACGGTTTGGCTGGCTTGTTCATCAATAGGTTTATCGAGGAGATGCTCCGGGAGCAGGAGGCAACCAGCGCCAACTACCGCCGTTGATTCTGCTGCTGGAAACTGTCAAAAGCGCAGTGGTCATCAAAATGAACGACCTTCTTCATCACGAATCTGGACGAAATCTCATGAAACGTGCCCTAGATATGTGTTCTACTTACCGTTGTAAGGCTAATGCCTTCCTGTCGTGATTTACCCGCTAGTAATTACTTCAGCAAAAATATCTGCGTCCTGGTGATCCTCATCACTTCAATATTCTCGTTTCCATCTCATCACAATTTTGATCGCAAGCACTTTCATCCTTCGCCCTGGGTGTGTGGTGTGAGGTCCCAGGACACTCAGTTTACGGAGCCTTCTCTGGTTTTGACCTCATCCCTGCCAACAAGACCGTTGCCTTTCCAACCTACAAGCGCAAGCTGAAGAAGTACAGGAACCAAAAATATTTTCATAGATCATATATCTTAAGTTGGGCCTCTCCATTCCTCGTCGCGATAATCGGTATCTGTCAAGCCACGGACACAGCGCTACCAACCACTGAGGCCAGCGGTAGTCCAGCGCCACGATCTCTCCCTCCCTCCCAGTAACACAAGTTATGAATCGCGGGTTGCCCCAATGGCAACATATTTGGCCAAAATGGAGCCTTGGGAGTCCTGTTTGCACTAGATCGATGTACAAGTACTCGTAATATTGTTGAGACGCCAATCTTCACCGCCTTCGCCCAATCTTGATACATAAGGCATTCGATGCGGCAGTTTTGGTGGCCTTCAAGTCATGTTGAGAGGTTTCAGATCTAAGCAGATGCACGTGTCGCGGGTCCGATGCTGACTCCGCGGGATGCGCTGATTGCATAGGGGTCAGCGCGATTCCTGGCTTTCCTTTCTTCCACTCTCCACACTTCCTCCCGATGTCCGCGCCTGCACTTCCCATCTTCCCTCCCTCCGCGCTGAAATCGCGCGTTTCGGCGCAGTCGTACGAGGCGACTCTGCGCGTTGTCGCGTCCAATTTAGGTTCACTTGATGCTGCATCTGGATGGTCATTTGTGCAGACCTATCTGCGCGATCAGCCTTCAGTACCCCGGATCAGCACTACCGACCTCTCCGACTCAGAAAAGGGACTGAGGAAACGCGTACTTGAACTTGCGCAGCGTGTCTCTGCAGGTTCGCACATTTGGCGCAGGTCCACGGCTGGTCTGGCTGTTGCTCGTTCTCGTCCAGTTTGACAATTGGAAGGTTCACGACGCTGGCTAGACATTGAAGCATCGTGCTGCTGATGCTCAGCACCGGAAAACGCGCGTAGCGTGCGCCTCGCCAGCGATCTGAGGTACTTCCATTGAATGTCTAGCCTGAGTCGGGAGCCTTTCACTGTCAGATGAGATGAAAGGGAAACGGACATACTGGGATAGCTGCTCAGTGGCATTAGGCTGACTTCTCTGTACAGAATCAAATGCACGGGTTGATGTCGACACCCTCCTAGCCTTGTCTGTGCAGTATGGTCATTCCAACACCTCCAAGGTCTCAGCTACGCTAGCACGCGCCTTTGAGGTCCATCCGACTCTTCAGCGCGAGCTGCAAGAGATCGTGCTCCCAGCATTGACAGCCGCCATCGAACCACCCGCAGATAACTCGACGACGCGCAAAGCCAGCAAGTTGCACGAAGACCGCATCTCACGCGTTGCGTCTTGCCTGCCACTCATGGCACGCGCAAGTCCGCTCGTCAGTCGTGCACTCGGGACCGACGTACGCTTCATGCGCTCGTTGAGCGCCGCTTACGACTTTGCGCCGCACACGGCCATGGTCGATGTGCTCGACTCCTTGTTCGACTTCGGCCCAAACGCAAGCGCGGCCCAGCCGGACGCATTGTTCGCTGCGTTGTTTGCAATGCTCGACAAGCCAGGTTTATTGCAGGACTACGCGAAGCTCGCTGGATTTGCGGATCAGCTGGAAGAAGTGTTCGGTGGAGGTGGAAAGAGTGGCGATCCGCGACTGGGATATGTCCTGGCAACTCTGAGAGCTGGAAAGGATCGGCCCCTGCCCAACTTTCTTTCAAGACTTCCTCCTCCTCCTCCTCCTCCTCCTCCTGTTGGGCAGCCAGTGCAACATCAAATCGTCTCCAACGGCAAGGTAAAGAGTAAAGCCAAAGCCAAGGACGCCGATGTAGGTGCTCATGCTCATGTTGTGACAAGTTGTTGTGACTATTCACGCTTTGCAGCCTGGGCCAGATCTCTCGGATCCGCGTATCGACCAGCTGGCAGACATCTTCCCCGACCACGACCGGCTCTTTCTCTGGAAATGTATCCACCACCCCATCTTCGACGGCGAAGTCGATGCGGTTGTCAGTGCTCTGCTCGAAGGCAACGCGCCGCCGGACCTTCTCGTCTCTGCACCCGCATCGCCCTCGCCTCCCTCGCCCACTGCGCTTCCCGAACGCCGGAACGTGTTCGACGACGATGATATGGACTTCTCGAAGTTGCGGCTTGGCAAGCAAGACGGGACGGCAGACAAGCTACTTCAAACCAGCACCGACGACAAAGCCTTCGCCGAGCAGATGAAGGCGGACATCTTGCGACGTGTGCAGGAGATGGAGATTGAAGACGCCGAGGAAGAGGAGCGCGATCGGTTCGGCGAGGGCTATGATGTGTCGGTGGATGGTGTCATCGCAGTCCGCGATGGAGCTGATGCCGAGGGCGAGCCCGAGGTCGACGAGGTAAGCGTCGGATGTCCTTGAACTGCGGCTTTCGAAGGCTAACAAAGGTCTCAAGGCGACCAAAAAGCAAAGGGAGATTGAGTTCATATTGGAAGAGGAGTACATCAAGAGTGTAGCGGTATTCGCGCGTGACTCGGATACTCGACGGTCGAAGGCGCGTGTTGACCTACGTGAACGCACTGGCTGGGCAGACGAACAGATCGAGGGCTGGGCGATCATGCTCGAGCGCAACGTACGTATTGTCATTGCTCATTTCTTTAAGCAAGATTCTTACAGTACATCGTGCATTGCAGCCTCAGAAAGACAAGATTTTGGCCAAACACCAGTTCGCCGGCAATCGGCGTGACGAAGAGTCAGATGAGGATGATGACGAGTCGAGCCAAGAAGGCGAAGAATCAAACGCCGGCCCATCAGGCTCCAATGCGCCACGCGGTCGTGGGAGAGGTCGCGGTGGTCGCGGTCGTGGGGGTGGTGGAGGTGGTCGGGGCGGCGGCGGTGGTGGCGGTGGAGGTCAGGACAAGACGCAAGTGGATCGACGAAGGAAGAACGCAAGAAAGGGTCAGGACAAGCGCAGAGGACACGATAAGAAAATGGGGAGAATGGGCGGAGGTCCGCCAGCATCGTAGCAAGGCATCTGCGGAGATGGCGTATTGAGAACGTTTTGCAATATGCACCTGTCACTCTCCCCTCTCGACGCATACTTGAAGTCAGCGTGTGCTATTACAAACCATGATCCTGTGATACTTAAAGGTTCGATTGTTATTACACCTCAAGCAGATCCTTTGTGAGCATCGAGACGTCTATGCTGGCGCCATAACACGTCATGTCGGGAGCAGTGGCGCAGTGGTAGCGCACGCGATTGCAGAAAGACTAACCTGTCGGAGCTTAAAATCGTGCGGTCACCGGTTCGATCCCGGTCTGCTCCTTAGTTTTCTCACCGCTTTTGCTTAATCATTATGAAATACTCACTGCTTTTGCTTAATCATTATGAAATATTGAATGAAGGCTTAAGCTTCGTCATTTTGCGCGGCGAAAGCCAAAGCGTGTTAACTCCGCACATCTGCTTGGTACTGACGGTTCGCCCCCCTTTTTTTCTTTCGCGTGCTTTTACACAATTGTTTTATTTCTTGTTCTGGTCATTTTCAAAAATTCAAAAATCAATTGAGGGAACATTTGAGGTCTGTCGGATCCTATCGAGTTTCACATCGTGTGACAAAGTAAGCTCGATCACCCGTCACAACAGGTGTGTTCTGCTGAACACCGAAAATTTTCTTGAACTCCCTGACATAGATCCCGCATTACCCAATTATCGTTCGGCCAAGTACTCATAGTCATCATGGAAGCCACGGGTAGACGTAAATCGTTACTCCAGACGGTGCTGGACCGAGTGCTTCCGAGAAATTGTATTACTTCGGGACGGCCTTTGTCAGCCCCCCGCAAGCTGCCTGGGAAGCCATTGGACAAATCGGGCGCTGAACACGCATGCGTGCTCCACGGCGTTTCAGGGCCGCCCCAGCGCCTCGCGCGTGCGCAAATGTTTTCCCGTTTTGGTCTGTTGAATCCCATGCCTGGCTTGCCTTATGCTGTTTCTCGCTCACCTCTGTCCAGAGCGTGAGAAGCTAAAGAACATATTTGGGTAACGGTGCTGCACAAATGGTGAGTCCCTCTCACGGCACTAACTGTAGCGTGCACGGTGATGGCGAGTTGGCACGCCGAGCCCGGGCAGGATCAGAACACCGATCAAGCCCAGCTAACGCTTTTCATTGCGAAGTCACGTAAAATCTGTCATGGATCCCGCGACTCAACATCCGGATAACTTCCGGCGGGCAGCGCTGCGAGTATATAAGGTCTACGGCCTTCGTCGACTGACTACCCATCGGCCAGCCGAACACCTGCAGTCGCAGCCTCCTCCTGTCTCAAGCAGTCTCAGACCCTCGTCTTTAGCAACTCTCACCGCTCACAATGTTCGCCAAGACAATCGTCTCTGTTTTCGCCGCCGTCGCGACCCTCACCTCCGGTATGTCGTTGACGCTACGTTAATTGAGACCACCGTAGACTAATGCTTGTGGACGCAGCGGCGAACGCGTACAAGTATGACCGCTTGAGCCGGAACGATTCGGCGCTGCTCGTCGTCGACATTCAGGAGGGCCTGTTCCAGCTCGTGCACGATATCGAGCCGCGCGAGTACCGCAACAACATCCTCGCGTTCAGCGCGCTCGGTGTCTACTTCGATCTCCCGACCATCCTCACCACGAGCGCGGAGACCGGCCCCAATGGTCCGTTCCCGCCGGAGATCCTTGCAGACCACCCCAAGGCACCGTACATCAAGCGCAACGGCGAGGTTAACGCCTGGGACAACGCGGTGGGTTTATTCCTGGATAATATGTGGTGAAGATGGGACTAAAGCGACAACATTGCAGGACTTCCGCAACGCCGTCAAGGCTACTGGCAAGAAGCAGCTCATCGTTGCCGGTATCACCACTGACGTTTGCGTCACGTTCCTCTCGCTCTGTACGTCTTTTTCATCCAGCTTTTTGTGGGCATGGCATTGAGACAATCCATCCGCAGCTCTTCGTGAGGCCGGCTATGATGTCTTTGTTGTCGCCGAGGCCAGCGGCACTTTCGATGCTACCACCGCCGCACTCTCCAACGACCGCATGCGCGACGCTGGTGTCCACATCATGAGCTTCTTCAGCGTTGCCTGCGAGCTTATGCGTGACTGGCGCCAGGCTCCCGGCAGCGTCGAGATCGCCCAGAAGTGGTTCGGCAAGTACCTGCCCAACTACGCCGCGCTCTACAACAGCTGGGTCTCCATCAGCAACGCTTGAGCGACCATTAGAGGAACGAGATCCCGAGACTGGTTGTAAAAAGTAGCATCGCCTTGCTAGTCAATAGACAAAATTAGTTCTATCAGATGTGCGAACTGCGAATACTGTCAAGACAAACTGGAGGAGCTCCCTTGACGCTTTCCCTTCCCGCCACACCTTGCACAGGTCGCGTTGTGCTCTCTCAGCTCGACTGAAATGCACAGGCGAACACGCTACGAGAAGAAGTTTCTGCGTGCGCGTGCCACGACGTCTGAGTCAGACTCGGAGTTGTCGGATGACGTTGGACTCAAAACCCCACCGCCGCGTGGACGCCCCTCTTCTCGCAAAGCACCTGACCTAAGCTTTTCAGTAAACATCGGGCAGCTGGATACTACGTTTGGCAGACATCGCTCAAAGCGCGCAGGTCTGACAAACCGGTCTAGCGGATCTTGCCGGACCTGGCGTGTCTTGTAAGACCAAGGTCCGGCAAGATACCCTAGACCGGTTGCCAGACCTGCGCACTTTGAGCGATGGACCGGTTCACTTCACTGGCATTCTGGACCTTGTGTCGCGCATCTTCTCCGCCGCTAGAGTCTACGACGAAATATTCACGCACTGTATGATTCCTATCCCCACCACTCTTACACTTATTGCTTGCACATGTCATCAAGCCAGGAACGCAGTCAGCGATTTCCTCACCCATTAGTGGAATTGCCAACTCAGCAACTACTTCCCTAATCCCCGCGCTTTTCGAGCCATGCAGCCGCGCAAGAGGTTCCTTGTTGCGAGGTACCAGAACGCGGACCAAATTAAATGGTTTGAACGCGAAGCAAATGGTACCGCTTGACTGGTCACTGGTCCAAGACCCTACGTCAAGCTTTCGCGTCACGGCAGACAATATTGGGGTTGATGGCGTGCTGCGAGAAATTAATATGGCCCTCCAGAGGAAGATCAAGTCCGATGAAATATGCGCCTTTCCCGCCTCACAGTCGCTTCTTCTAGTGATGTCAAAACAGTCGTCAAGTCTGATGATCTCAGAGCAGGATGGCCATCCCAGGCCTTTTCCCGGAACGGCACGTTGCTGGAGGAGGTAGAGTCCGTATCCGCCACGACCTTACGGAGCACCTGCAGAGCTTGAAGCTTGCCGCAGCAGAATCGCGTGAGCTTTTGCGCGGTGAAGAAACCCGAGAGTGAACTCAAATCGCGTATGGCACCACTATTTGCGTCTGCACCTTCAATGATGACGGCTATCTCTATGCCATGCGCGACCAGCCTCCGAGTCCTGACATATTTCCTAAGATCGGTCAAATAGGACTGTGGGACCCAACGAGCTCCCATTTAACTATATTATGATGTAGATTGAATATTTGGCACATTGGCCACAACCTTCTCAGGCGGTCTGCGGTGTAGTGACCGCCACCCAGCTGTTGAAGAGGGCGGCGAAGTTTGGCAGCCAACCGCTGAACCATTGCATAGCGTGCTCAACGCCGCCGGGAGCCTGGCGCCAGTCACGCATGAGCTCACCGGCGACAGCGAACCAGCTCAAGACGTTTACGCCGGCATCGAGCATGCGGGCGTTTGCGAGCGCGGCAGTCGGCGGGTCAAAGGTTCCGCTCGCCTCCGCGACCACGAACACCTCGTAGCCGGCCTCGCGAAGAGCTACAGTAGAAGAGGGGTTGAGCTGAGGCCATGTTAATAAAGTACAGAGACTCACAGAGGGAGATAAACGCGACACAAACGTCCGTGGTGATGCCGGCGACAATAAGTTGCTTTTTGCCAGTGGCCTTGACCGCGTTGCGGAAGTCCTAATGCCGAGCAAGCGGTCGCGTTAGATCGATGTAGAAGCCGGGAACCAGCAGCACATCGCACCTCATTGTCCCAAGCGTTAACCTCGCCGTTGCGCTTGATGTGTGGCGCCTTGGGGTGGTCTGCAAGAATCTCCGGCGGGACAGGACCGTTAGGACCGGTTTCAGCGCTGGTGGTGATAACGGTCGGCAGATCGAAAAATGCGCCGAGCGCGCTGTACGCCTTGATATTGTGGCGGAACTCGCGAGGCTCGATATCGTGTACAAGCTGGAATAGGCCCTCCTGAATGTCGACAATGAGCATTGCCGAGTCGTTGCGGCTCAGGCGGTTGTACTTGAAAGCGGTCACACCTGGCGCAGTCGGGTCACAGGTGAGCGTATATCCCTATGCGACGACAAACAGCTTACCGCTGGCAATGCTGGCAACCGCGATGGCGACTGAGGTTATCTTGTTGAAGAGCATAGCTGTACGATTAGGCTCTTCGTGAGAGTAAAGACCCAAAATGCCAAAGAGTGGAAGGGAGGTTGCGAGACGTCGGTGAACCGATGCCCACAATTTCTCGTTCCCATCACGACTTTTATAGGTCTTATGTTACCTAGAGGAGCTTTAAATGACCACCTATTACTGATGGCCGAGTTCGTTACAGTCGGCGTGTGGCCTGGGCAGTGCTGGGAGGCGTTCCCACGGTTTCCCATGCGGTTACACCTAGTTCCACGGCTTCATCAGTCATGCCACGTTCTCTTGGCGAGAAATTGTGTACGGTAAAAGGCCGGATCACCCTACTACTAAGACTGAGACTGAGTGGGCATCTCTCCGTCTTTACTAGAATCTGCACAGATTCAAAAAACCTGGAGTCCAAACTGACGTACCGCCAATATGTTGGGTACAGGACGTTCTTCAACTGAATATAAACATACTTGCATCCTCCTTCAATATGATTACCATTCTGAAAAACACGATTTTCGCAGACTAGAAGGGCTTATGTGGACAACGGCCACTCGCCGGGTTGTGGGCCTCGATGCCGGCATAGCCGCATAATTCACATCATTGAACGCCCATGATCAATTGACATCGCCGAGGAACGCACAATGCGCTCAGTATGTTGGTTTATTGAGACTAACACTGCATAAACCCCGGCCTGCCAACGTAAGAACAACACGTCGGCTCGGCCAGCTTGGAAAGATTGTCAGAAGATCCATGCGCTGGGTCAGCATAATTCTGCGGCCTCGGCATATAGCGCCAACTTCAGGGTCCTCTCTGGCTTGACAATCTATAATTTGCAATTTGCCCGGGCTGAATGATTGGACAAGCCG